CCGATGCTGCATTGCTTGGGAATCTGTTTGGATCTCTCACCGTCGCCCAAATTGGCCTCCCCCATTTCGACTCCAGAATCTTGCAGGTTTGTTTTCGAATTCCTAAATCTGGATGAGCCTTGGACAATTTAAGCAATTCTCGATTCAAATTTTGGGGGTTCAGTTTAATAGTACTATGATTTTATCTTGAAGTAATTGGATTCTGTAGTTGAATTTGTAATCGGACCTGGTTGAGTTAGACTGGTGGCTTTGTCTGTGCTGAAGATCTTGAACAAAATTACAGCAAAAAATGTCTTAACTTAACCCTGTTCTGGTCTGGCCAGGTATGGATTGAACGGAATATCATGAGATTATAGATTTTAAGTTTACAAGTTCATAACCGTAGCCGATTCCCATTTTGAGCTGTTTTCACCCATGACCTGTTTCTAAAGAACGATTAGAAGTTTTGTCTAGAGCTTGTAAAGGGTGATTTTTTCAGGTGCCAAAAACAAAAGTTGAATTCTACTTCTTAGAACAGAGTTCTCTAAGGGAATCTCTTGTTAAAGTTTGTGGTTCTATTTGTTAGCCATGAGTAAACATCATCCTGTTTTCTTCAAGGTCTAACAATTTTTTAGTACAACATGTGGGTTGGGGGATCGAACTCATAACCTCTTGGTTGGAGATATATATCGATTACCGCTGATCTATGCTCGCTTTAGCTCTTCAAAGTCTAGCAGTTAGTGATTCTGGAATCCTGCATGTTAGCGTTAGCGGAGTTTCGGATATAGTTCGACAACCGAAATGGTTTGATGAAATCCCAGGTTGGGGGAACACTCCTGCCTTTTATTCCAGTGCTTAACAGATAATAAATTACTTATAAATTATAATCCTTCAATTCCGTAAGTTCTGGTGTGCCATATATATCAACCTGTCCTTAGTAAATCCTAAAGAATCGATTCCTTAGTCTGAGAGTTGTTAGTTTGTCTGAAGGCGTTTTGTTCTGGTATACATCATGTTTCGAGCTCATCTCGAACACGGGTATAACTTATAAGTACCGACACTTAATTAATGGCCACAGTTCTCTTCGAAAATTTGACAAAGATGAGATTCATACTGTTTGTATTTTTTCTCCCTTGCAAAATGTACAGTACGCTCTTAGAATGGTTTCATTGGTTTCTGCCTTCTATCTTGTCATGTTAATTGGTGCTTGTGGAAATTATTGAATTGTTGGAGACAAAGGAGGAGATTCGATATCTTCCGAACTCATGTTCTCGAGATAAAGGTGCAAAACTTGTCGTCTGGGACCGGGAGTTCAATCTTGATTCTATCTAAAAGAACTTACTGCAAGTGTTCAGAAGTATAGATAGTATCAAGTTTTTCGTTCTCGCGTACTCATCTAGTCTCTTGTCTTGCAGAGAATTAAGGACGAGGTAGAGAAAAGAAAGCTGCAGTGCATCAACTCGTGCCATCCAGGGGAGAACCAGTCGATTCATCGGGTGCCCGAAGGACACGAACAGTTCCACGAATGTCTTGGAACAGTCAGATCGGAATGCCGATTGAATCAACCGGCTCCTGCAAGAGCAGCGGAGCAAGTGAATGGGCAGCATAAGGTATTATGAGGAGCAAAATAGGAAGCAGCTGAAATTTTCCCATAAACCTAACAACTTTGAAGTTTTCTTTGTGCAAAAACTTCTGTTAGCAATATAGAGAGAGCTGCATAGCTTTTGTTAAAAGTTGTATTTATAATGATTATAAGGGGAAATGAATTCTGAAGCCCCATTTTAGTATTGGGCATTGAAATTCCAGATGCCATTTTTCATCACTACCTTAATTTAGCCATTTTGTTTCTTCAACTAAAATTTTAACCTCAATAACAATTAGTGAGTCATTTTTAACCAAAAAAAAAAAACAATCTGAGTCGATCATTAATACAAAAAATAAAATTAATTCAATGTTATCATTTAAGTTATCAATAATTTTTGCTAACTTGAATGGGTTAAAGCATATATGTGAGTGATAAAAGATTTTTTTTTAAGGTCTAGTCAAATTTATTACACACAAAAATAACTTGTAAATTGCTAATTTTTTCTCTTATATATTTATATATATAATTCTTCTATCATTGATATTCTCATTCAATATAGTATATTAAATGATATATAGTATACAAGTAATATACTATTTTTGTAAAAGTTTATTAGTGATATACTAACACAAGTACATCATCGATGCATCATTTTTATATCATTGGACATTGATAAAGTCTATCACTAATGTAACAATATAAATATTACTGATATACTTTTTTATTTTTTTTTATAAAAGTCTATTAGTGATATACTAATATTACTTTTTTATTTTTTATTTTTATTTTTTTGTATAAAAGTCTATTGGTGATATACTAATATAAAGTATATCAATGATGTATTACTTTTATATCACTAATAAAGTCTATCATTGATATACCAGTGTAAAGTATTTTACTGATATGTTATTTCTATGTTATTTTTATTTTTTGAAAATGTCATATTTATGTATTACATTTGCTTTATTTCAACAAAATACTTTATTATATGAAAAGTTTGCAATTATTTTGGCTAAATTCAGGCAAAATCTCATTTTAAAATTTGTTAGAATTTTGAGAATTTAAATAAAAAATTAAACAAGAATGAAACTAAATAAATTTAATTCTAGAATAAAGAATCGTGCCTTCTTTTTAATTGTTAAATAGGTTAAGGTATGAATAGGTATGGTAAAAAGTGACAGGTGTTTTAAAATTTTATTATTATATTTTGATGTATAAGCCTTTAAATTTATTATATTCTAATTTTTACACTTTGAAAAGGTCTATTATAGGCTTTAAATTTTAGGGATAAAATTTATGGATTAAATTTATAAATTAATCTTTTAACATTTTAACATAAATTGTGCTATTTTGTAACTATATATTTTACAGATGTCCCTTTTCGTTCATATTATTGATTTCCCTTACTGAATTGCACTCCATCAATTTCCTTCTATATTTATCACTTCTATATTTATTATTCTGATTTCATTTGATTCTTTTTTTAATTTTTATTTCTTTATATTCTATTTAAGGTAATTGATACGCTGAATTGATTTGACTTTTTAAAAATTTATTATTTCATTATACTTCATTTAAGGTAATTAATAGAGTAAATATAGAAGAACGAAATTAAGAGAGTAATTTAGTAAGGAAAATTAACTAATTAAAGGTAGAAATCTAAACATAAAAATATTAAAGTTTAAATACTATTTTTATAGATGTACTTTTTATAAATGAGAATCAATGGATGAGAATAAATATTTGTATTCCCTTGGTGATTTACTAAATTATAGCAAATTATGGGACCCATGTCCTTTCTCTCCTTCTTTATTATTGAAGACTCATAATTTTTTTAATTAATTATTTCTTTTCCATTTCTACCCCTAATACAAATTTATAGGTTAAAAAACACATTTGGTCCCTGTACTTTCATTAGAGTTACAATTTAGTCCCTAAACTTTCAAAAGTAACGATTTAATCCATGTACTTTAAAATTGGTTACAATTTAGTCCCTATCGTTAAAAATGAGGTTAAGATTTAACGGATCGCTGACGTGGCTGCCATTTAGGACTATGCGTACAAATTAAAATCCATTTGGCGAGTTGGTTCAACATCAGTTCGGTTCGATTCGTATTTAAAATGGTTCAGGACTTTAAAAATAAAAGAATGAAAATTTTACTCAGTTTCTCACCCACGACTGCTCTCTCTACGACTCCTCCCGCTTCATCTTCTCCACCATCGAACTCTCAATCGGTACAGAATTTCCTCCCTTTCGTTCACGCTTCATCTCCTCCACCATAAAACTCCCAACCTATACAGAATTTCTAAACTCATACTTCATCTCTTTCTAGGTTTCTACTTCATCCCCATTTGAGTGTTCTATTTTAGAGAATCTTAGTTTATTTTAGTGGTGCGATTTTGTTTTTTAATTTATGTAGAGTTTGTTTTATTATTATTTCTTTTTGGATTTTGTGATTTTTTTTCTTAACGATTGATAGGATTTTATTCTTGTTTTTGTTTCCCTTTTTATTCAATGAATTTGTTGGAATTTTTTTCTACAAAAGAAAATTCTATTTAGGGTTTGTTCTTGTTATGGATGATTTTCTACAATTCAGATTCCCGAATTCAAATGGACGATATCTGGCCTTATGATTCTGATATTCTATATTCAAGATATATTGATTGCCTCAAGATTCTCCCCAGATTCAGATAACCAGATTTCCTAGATGTATCAAGATTCGAATTCCACAATCCTTAGGGATCAGGATTCAACTCCTATAAATAGGGAAGTAAGCCAAACCCTACAAGGAGGCACACAACACTCTACACTTTATACTCAACTACTCTGATTCTGACTTAAGCATCGGAGCCTGTGTGGCGAGAGCCACACCGATCTTTAGTGCTATTGTGTTTTGCAGGTCTTGTTGATCCCTTTTATTGTTGAAGATTGGTGCGAACTTGGCGGAATTCCAGGAGGCCAAATTTATGCATCAACAATTGGCGCCGTCTGTGGGGACGACTAAGACCTAAAAGTCAAGACGATTGACGACGAATTGACCGAGAACTACTTAGATCCAAGGAGATCTCGGGAGAAACGAATCGACATGTATTCTAGAGGCAGACCACAATTTTCTAACGACGAATGTCATACGACTCGGGGGCTTAATTACCCTACCTGAGGTAGCCGAGAAAAAAACAAATCAATGAGTTCTGAGACAGGACCCAGAATGAATGAATCAACAAATTCCAGGACAGATTCTGGATGAGATAAATCGACGGATTCCAAAATAGACTCTGGGATAAACGAGTCAACAAATCCCAGAAAAGAAAAAGCAACTGATTATCATACGAAGTTTCTACTTCAGACGATGGTAAGTTTACTATGTAATTTTTGTTGTTTATGATTATGAGAGTTTAGGTTTAATTTTCTGGTAACCGCATATTTGGTAGATCGCATAATTTAGGACTAATTTTTTGGTAACTGCATGTTGATAGTATGTTTCCAAAAATACTTACTCGTTTGTGATTTAAAAAAGCCCCTAGCATCTGAAATTTAATTAATTCCTTATTACTTGAGCAATTATCTTTTTATAAATTATGAATAAGACTTTTGACACTTGAAATATAATTAAATCCTTACTACTTAGTGTTTATCTTTTATTCTAAATGAAAATCCCTCGAGTGGGAGCATGTGTAAGTAAATCAACAGCTAGTCAAGGAACTCGACCGGGACAGACCTAGAAGCAGGCCAATAAGCTAAAAGCCAATCAGTAAAACCAGGGAAAAGAATCCCGAGGTGCTGAAGAAGGCACGCGTACAGGTTCGGCAAGGTTAAAACAGAAAACAGGCAGGCCTAACCAATCAATGAAACCCACGGGTAGAAAACCATATGGCAAAAGCCAAAATAAGTTAAAAACCCGAGGGTGTTGATTAACTTGGGGTAAAAAACCGGCAGAAGCCAAATATGTTAGAAACCTAAGTGTGTCGACTAAACTCAGGGTATAAAAGCCATTGGCAAAAGCCAAGTGGGTTAGAAACTCGAGAGTAAACCTGAGGTACAAAACATGGGCAAAAGCCAAATAGGTTGGAAACCCAAAGGAAGTACCACTGGCCCTCTTAAAAGTTAGATCCGACGGCCAAAATCTAACGGTTAAAACTAACCGTATAGCAGTGCCTAAGAGACTTGATTGCAACCAACTACAACAAAAGAGAATGGGGGCTATGATAGCCCGCCCATTAAACGACAACCGACAACAAAAGGGTATCGACTGACTCGGGTATAAAACCATTGGCAAAAGCCAAGTAGGTTAG